ATTGAGGCTGAACCATCCATCTGGACGGTTCAGGGTCTGGCCTGGCCTCGCAGCATTGAGGCCAGACCATTGCCCACCGGTATAAGTACCGGTATCCGCCTCAGTAGTGGGATCGGCCTACCGGAACTCTACCGGCACGGCATGGTCAGTGCTAGTGCACTGTTTGATGCGCTAAACTTAGCACAGGGGCTGAAGCAGGAGCGCAGCATAGCGCAGCAGCGAGCGGAGCACCAGCGGGTGACTGAGCTTGCACGGCGGTTATTACCGCCTCAGGTATCGGGAGCTTGGAGGGTCTCTCCTCCTCTCCCTCGCCAGTCCCCTCTCTCTCTCTCTCCTCTTCCTCCTTCTTCTTCTTCTTCTTCTTCTTCTTCTTCTTCTTCTTCTTCTTCTTCTTCTTCTTCTTCTTCAGATTGGAGACTATCCAGTTGGACAGAGATCAGAGTTGGATTTCGGTGATACGAGACTGTGGTACTTACCTGATTGGAGACTTGGAGATTGTTGAGGTTGATACTCGGCTGCATCACAGTTGGACACCGGTTACATCTGGACTCTGTTATCTCCGACATTGGTGACCTTTGGTCCTCGACATTTTGATMTTGYTATATGACATTCTGGACTACCATTTCAGAGACCTATCAGACTCTATCTTTGTGACCTATCGGTGTGATCTACCTCCCACCTCCTTCGTCTCTCCTCCCACCTTTCATCTGTGTATGTGTGTACGGGATCTGGGWATCGTCTATGAATGACCCAGACCCCACCATCTCATGATTGTACGTGTGCGGAGTGATGCCATGTAAGTCAGTTGGTGTGAGTCGGTCTATGTGAGTCAGTTCATTATCAGACTTCCGCTGCATAAATGCTCATCCTATATTGGTTGATCTTTGGTTCTGCCCATACTCATTGAAGTAAGCATCTCAGCGGACTTTCGAAGCTAAGGGGGATGGAATGTGAGGATTGAGCCCTCAACGGGGCCTTGCCGACACGCAGATGTTCTGGGCATAGGCCCCTAGCAAGCCTCGTGCCCGCCCTAAGTGAAGGCGGGCCAGAATATCCACGAGAGGCCTTCATTCAGCATTTCACAAAGTGGGTATCAGACAGTTGCCACACGCCAGTTGGTTGGAGTGCATCGGGAGCCTCAGACTCCTGCAGAGGCAGTTGAGCCCAGGGCCTCGGTTGGTTGAGCCCTGGGCGACAGTCTAGGAGGCCAACACATCACACATTGGTCCCTGGCCTATGGAAAAGCAGTATTTTGTCATGGAGGCCGAGGAAACCAATGGGAAACCGGTATGGGGTCTGAATCTGGACAATGGCCCTAGCATAACGGGAGCAACTGTATTACCTGGGCCCCATCTGCATTGGGCCTGGGCGCAGATACTGGGACCCAGGCGCAGGCTAGAGGTAGACCGCCCACACGCGACACTGGCATATAGGCAGAGGGGGCGAGTGGGCGAGGATCTTGGCCATTGCAAGCAAGGCCGGCACACTGTTGCATTGCGAGTGTGCTGCGCTGCGCTAGGCTGAGAGAAGGCAGGCTGGCACTAAGCGGTAGGGCGCCGCCTGGGCGCAGGGCGCTGGCAGCCATAGCCAGGCTGCATGAGGGCGCTGGAGGAGGTGAGGGCGAAGGTGGTTCTTCGGGAGGTGAAGGGCGCTGTGTGGGATAACAAGGGAGAGTGAGGGACAAGAGTGACGTACCTGGTGGAAGAGGAGGTCGGCATTGGTGTTGACGTCATCACTAGTTGGTCGTCAAGTCGTCTGGTTGCTTCCATGACTGTAGTTGTAGGAGAGGCTGTAGAGTAGATAGGGCGCCTGGCGCCATTCAAGAGAGAGGGCTACTTCGGGTTATGTTGTTGGTGTTGCCCGATTGGGCTTGGACATTGACTCATGACTTTTGCTGTATCGTTCTCAAATGGATGGTTGCTTGGTTCCAATGTGTTATCTGCTCTTGCTTTGACTACTCGGACTTCAGTGTGATTTGCAATTGGGCTTTCTTTGCTTCGTCCACATTCATGTTCCTTGCATAATAATAATAATAATAATAATAATAATAATAATAATAATGAGTGGTAGGACCAGAATCAATATCAGAAGTTCCCTTGTACTGCCAGCACAACAATAGGTCCACCATAGCCATGGCTTCCCTCTTCTCCCTCCTCTCACAGGCCAAGGCTAGACAACGCAAGGCAGCTATGGCTGCTGCTCTTCAGGCCGCCATGCCTGACTCTGCCTCGATGCTTCCTTGGTGCGGCACTACCTAAACTGGGGCCTTCCAGATGCAGCGCCTAACAAGGTGATGAAGATGGTGTCCACCATAGCCAGGTAGGTACCTCACCACTCTCCTCCTTCGCCCCCTTCTTCCTCCTCCTCAAGACGGGCTTCTCGCCATAGCCAGGCAGAACGCCCAGCTCTCCTCCTTCCTCCCAGGCAGCGCTCTGAGAACCAGCACCTCGCTCAAGCAGCATGACGCCCAACCTTGCACACCGCAAATGAGGACGATCCTCCTGGAGTTATAGCGGCCTACTTGCCTCTTGGGCAGTGACTTCCAGGCTCCTTTCGGAGGGAAACATCATTGCAGGCTCTGATATTGTCCGCACAGGCCTTAGACTCAGCCTACTTGGACTGGTACCCGCCTACCTCTAGCCTACCGCTACTGGGCTTCTAAAAATGCCAACTTTTGTCTTCTTCTGCTCGGCCACCAGTCCCGACACATCTACCGCTACTTGAGTGGTACCAGCCTACCTGCTACTTGAGTGCTTTTCTCCCGCTGCCCTACGTGTCGCGGGCCTACTCCCCGCCACTTGAATGTTTCCCGCTGCAACCCTCAGAGTCACGGCCACAGGTAAGTACCGGCCCTCCAGGCCTAAGCACACACAAGTGCACTGTCGGGCCACACACACTCAGGCCACTCAGACAGGCACACGGACCAGCAAGCAAGCATACACATAGAGACTTAGAAAACTCAGCAGAATGCGGAAATCTCAGAAAGGCATACATTCCAACGGCAAAACTCAGAAATCAGCAGTGTTCTCAGTCTGTGTTTTGGCGGGTCATTACACTACCCTCCTCTCAATGAAATCAGCGGTGCTCTCAGCCCTGCCGGCTGGCTTAGTTCATTTGATACACCCATGAGCAGTTGAAATACAGACCTCCGTTCAAATCCCAATGAACCCATCGCCGTTTCCAGAAAGCTTTTCCACAAAAGAACAAAAGATGGGAAAGGAAAGGAAAAAAGAATGCCGAGGCAACAAGTGCAGCCCCACCTTCCAGAACCATCAACGATGAATGACAATCTGATGCAAACAGGGCCATTTGAATCCCCCTTCCTGCAGCACAGGTCTCAGCCTGAACTAGGGTATAACAGCCTGGGTATGATTGTAAAGTAATAAACGAGGCATGGGTCGCTGCACACCAGCATGGACTCGGAAGACACTTTGATGCAAGAGAGAGAGAGAGAGAGAGAGAGAGAGAGAGAGAGAGAGAGAGAGAGAGAGAGAGAGAGAGAGAGGAGCAGAATGACCACAAAATGAGGTCACTCCTCAACTACCATGCCAACAAGTGACAATGTAGAGGTCAAGTTCCAGGCACATGGCGGTTGCAGCCATCAGTCAGCCGTTGGTTGTTCTGACAATTGCTCCATTTGTGAGACCACCTCCCTACCGATCCTCTCATCAATTCTCCTAGCACACCCCTATTCCCACTATCTTACCCCAATGTTAATCACTCAGGACTATCAACCCACCATCTTGGTGGGTGACTCGGACCGAAGAGCAGTTACGGGCACCAGGGCTAGGCAGACTCAACAGACAAGCCCAGACTGGCCTAGCTTGCCCAAGGCTCGGCGGATCACAGACGAGGTTGTAGCGGCTATTAAACCCCTACTCAGCCCTACGCACTGACTGTATATGTGCCCATAGGCTGTATCTGCGCCCGTAGGCTATGTATATATGTAACCATTGGCTGTATATGTGCCCGTACGCTATATGGGTGCATATATTGGTCCGTAAGCAATGTATGTATGCCCGTAGGCTGTGTGTGTTATACGTAAGAATCGTGCCGTTCTGTGTATCCCGTCCCACGTTCATCATGTGTAACAGTCATCCTCAACTATATGTACGACAGTACCAACGTGTGATATGCCAGACTGGGGAGATCATCAGAACAACCTAGGGCCAACATCCTTACGCAACCCCATGCATAGTCATTCCCCGACATACAACAACGATCCGGAACTGAATCCCTTGGGTGGTGAAGGCAATGTGTGTAATCCTTACCATGCAACAATCCCAAGGGAAATGTGTGCGTACAGCCATGCATTGGTCAACGCCCGCCGGTGTCCATGCTCGAGGCTAGGGGGAGGCTAGGGGGGGTTGAACTTTGAACCCACAACCTCAGACCACAACGCGCATATTTCCAACTGGTGCTCTACCCACTGAGCACAGGTGTACAACCTCTACATGATATGATAATCTTCCCTCTGGTCTTCTCACCCATAGGAGAGCAAATTGTGACTTCACCCCACTCTCCCAATCTGCCTCCTAGGCAGTTGGGACCCCTCTTGTCAAGTGGCTAAATATTTTTTGCCCTTTACGTGCTATGCCCGGTGGGGCACAAGTATGTGGGGTGGCGATCTAGCACCAACTGAGCATGAGTGGTAGAAATTGAAAGCTTAGAGAATCAAACCTGCAACCTCCCCGTATACCTGAGCTCGAACCACTGAGCTACGACGCTTATCCTCCACTGCAGAACATTCTAACTGTATCTGGAAGGGAAAGTTATCCGGGTACACTCAGACTCACCTAACATTTTGAATGTATCAGGATCACTCATATATCCAGATGCATTTAGAATGTTGTGTCATAAAGAGAGGCCCTATGTTTTGACAAAGAATATGAAGCCGTCATAGAAGGAAAGAGAACCAACCACACAAATCAAACAATCGAAAACAGTGCGACAGTGATGACGAGTGGGCAGGCATTGCTGATGGGGGAAATAGGCGGTGCTAGCGCCGAGCAGTGGCCAGTCACTGCACCTCCCCCTACCCCCCCCCCCCAACCCCACATGACGGTGTCTAGTGGCCAATATTGTCGCTGCATAGCAACCATCAACATCAGCCAAGGTCCTGCCAATGCTGGCTTGGGGGGCCAACGGGTTATCTCTAGCTGGTAGAACACCAAGCTTGCCCAGGCACGTGCGCAAGGCCAATGGGGATTGAACCCAACCCACGGCCTCCTGAATGCAACTTCTGTGCCTTACCAACTGAGCTTGCTCTTGCACCACTGCTGTGGTGCCAACCTACCCCGTGGGCTACAGTCTTCCCCCGAATACAACGTACGGTCATTATAGCTGAATTTGGGGTATCTTTCAGTCTAAATACAGCTATAATGACCGTACGTTGTATTCAGGGGAAGAAGGTAGGGAGAGATCGGGTTGGTTGGTGTTCCCCCGTACATAGACTAGCGAGAGGATGAGATAGATGACTACCGACAGAAAGATGAGATAGATGAGAGAAGAATATAGCTTACTTAAAAATAAAATAAAAAAATAAAAAAAAATAAAAACAGTGCGACAGGCCAACTGCACCACTCACTAAATCTGCAAATGTACATGACTCTTCCTCTGGGCAGTGGGAAGATACATTGCTATAGTTCTTGTGATTTTCACATTTGGTGAGTAGGGTGGTTAGACCAGAAAACCATTAAGGCCTGGGCCCCACTGACCAGCGGCCTGGAAAAGTTTAGGCGCTGTAGTGTTTTCCAGACCTCACCGGTGTTGGAAACTGGTGTGGAAAGTCGGCCCGGAAAGGAATTGCAGACCCCACCGTGCTTGGAAGCAGGTCGAGGAAATGCTGAAGGGGAGTTTCTACTCGGTCGGCGGTCTGGAAATTCAACGCCGACCACTTTCCATTCCCTTTCCAAGGAGGTGTCCAGACGAGTAGGGGTGGGGGCATGTCCATCCGTTTCCGGACAACGGCTGGACGGTGTGGACCACTCACCCTCGTCGTGGACCGTTTTTTGGACCGGGAGGCCGCCGCGGACATGCTCTTGTTTTTTTGCCGTCGCACGGTTCCCCCAAGGGCCCGGGGGTCTGGGCCATCCATGCTCCCCTCACTTTACGAATGGCATGCTGCAGCATTCAAAATTTGAATTTTTGGCGGGCTGAGGACGAAGACCAGCCATGCAATCGCGACATTCATTTTGTACGCGTGCATTGGGAGCATGACCAGTGATTCTGATAGCTGGCCATCGCCGACACCTCCATTAAACCCTCCTGCCCTGCGCAGTCCGTGCATGATGCCATCGCTCATCTCCTTCACGCATGCAGGGCGCGAGGCCTGTCTACGGGGAAGCCGTTTCGGGTGGCGTCGTCAGCAGAGGTTGACATTGGGTGGCCGCGACCCGAGCCGACCGTACCCAGCCGTACCCAGCAGTTCTGGACGGGTGCAGGTATGGCATGATTAGTATGCACCGGGGCAGCTGGGTTTGGAAATCTGAGGGGGGGATATGGCCGGGGCAGGAAACTGTAGGGTGGGTGGGGCTGGGTGTTGACACAGTGCCCAAACGGTTACGGCCGGGCAAAGGTTTGCCCTGGTTCTGGGTACGGCTGGGTAGAGGTTTTGCGCGGGGGACCTGAGGCGTGTAGGCATACTAGGCATATTAGGCAAGCCTAGGTAGTATTAGGGACAAACCTGACCTTTTTTCTTCACTTGGAAATAGTGGTACTAGTGGGGCGTGCCCCTAGTATAAATTTGTCTCTGGCTGTTTGTCATTCATCTTAGGGATGCGGTAGTACTAGGGTCAGGCCGTACTATTAATTTGGCCTGGCCCCAGTCGTTTCATCTTAGGGAATACGACATTCACTAATAAGCTCTTGCCATAATTGAGGTCAGATCCATCGAAATCTGGATGTAGTTGCGGCCAAATGTAGACAAGAAAGTATCACTGTGAGTATCTCCAGCCACTGGCCCATTGCCGCCACCAAAATTCGAAGCAGAGATATGTGGATGGAAGCTAAAGAATCTGACATGCAAAGGCCTAAGTTTAAAATAAAGATAAAAACTAAGTCTGGGTGGAAAATTTTGGGCACAGGTACGGCTGGGCACGGGTGGATGGATACTGGGTTTAGGTGCGGCTGGTTGGGGATGAGGGAAAATTTGGCCTGGGTGTGGCTAGGTATGGGTAGACAATTTTTAAATCCCCCTGGGTGGGCCGGGTACGGGTAGAAGAAAAATTGAATTAGCGTGGGTGGGCTGGGTCTGGGTAAAACAAATCGCGTTTACGTGGGTTTGGCTAGATATGATACATCAAGGCTGGGGCCGGGTCGGATATGGGTAGGACAAAAAATGGTTTTGTGACCTCTGGTCATCGGACGGTCTCTGGCCGGGGATTGCATTCGGAAGTTGTGGGTTGTGTGGCGAGCAGCGTCTCTGGAATGCGCGGACGAGAACCTGCACTCTCGGTGTGCGCCCGCGCGCACACGTACCAACCGATGTTATACTCCCGTGTTGTGGCCGTGACACATTCCATGCTCCGTCGATGTTGTTGTGTGGATGTTGCCATTAACAACCACTGCAGCGGAGGCGGGCGACGAAAAAAACCATCTTGGGCTGTTTTCGTAGGCCTGGTTGCGGTCGTCATCATCCTTTCAACGACTTTCTTCTTCTCGGTCATTTTTTAGTGTGTGATCCTATACTTCTGCTATCGTGGGTGGAGATAGCACCGAAGGGGTGTTTTTGGAGGAAGCAGTACGTGGTGTTGGGTGTTGCTTTCGTTGTCGGTGCTTTGCAGCGAAATGGAGTCATATCGGTCGACGACAGATCCTTGTGCAGGCATTGATGGGGGATTCCAGTCCCAGGACATGCCTACGCAAGGATCTGTCCTGTACTCCTCGCCTTCACCGGTGACGGCGCAGTCCTTCGGTGGCCAGTTGCACGAGGGTGTGTGGGCCGGGTCGATTCATGTCCCACCTGCTCCTGTGCCCTCTCCATCAACCCATCATGCCGCAGGTGCACGTCGGCAGTTCGCTGTTCGGCCATCTGCACACACTTTGCACGCTGGCCCCGTGCACACGGGCCAAACCTCATATTGCACACAAGTTGGAGGCGGGTATGGGATACCCGGTCCACACACGTGCCCAGTCGGCAGTGGGTATGGCATTGTCGCGCACATGTACCCCACCCAGCACACTGTGGAAAGGGGCGGAGTAATGAGGGATGATTGGTAGTGGTCCCCCCAGTGCGGACAGACGTCGCAGCCGCTGCATGGCGGAATGTCCGCTCCCTCGCCCATGTCAGTCAGGCGGTCTGTTGCCGAGCCTTCGCCTTCAATGGTAGATGTGCAAGGAGAGGATATGGATGAGGGGTGGCCCGTGTACAGTGCTACTTCGGCGCCTGCCGGGTTGCAAGACCGTTCCTTTGTTGGCGACGAAGACGAGTATGTTGACGACGATGAAGGTGAAGGTGATGGCGGTAACACTGATGCGCAGAACTCCGACAACATGCAGGACGACAGGGCCATTGTTGGGCAGACAGACGGGGGGCAGAATGTTGTTGGGCCCAAAAGCAGCAGGCGTGGAAACAAGCGGGGGGGCAAAGATGGTGCTGCCAAAAACAAAAACAAAAACAGAACATCCCGTGGAGCTAGGAGGAGAGGATCAGACTGTCGAGATTGGTGGCCAAAGATGACGCCCTAATGGTCGACGCTGAGGGTCAGCATCGGTTCAAGAAGAGGAAGGAGCGGTATGAGTGGGTGCACGATCGAATGGGTGATAACGGGTTTCCGCATAGGTCGAAGGAGGATTGTCGTAAGAAGTGGCAGGACATCATGGCTGCATCAAAGTTGATTCTCGACAAGTGTGAGAATGCTTTGGGCAAACCTTATGGAGCAACGTAAGGCAAAACAAGTGTCACTAGGCTTTGAGAAAGCGTTGTGGGAAGCAATGGAGTGGCAACTCAATCGGCCCTCCATCAAGTGTGACAACACACTGGCGTCGGAGAACCTGCCGGGTAACGCGGAAGGGCCATCAGCGGACACCAGTCCAACACAGCCTGCGTCGGGGAAAAGTGGTTCCGATGGTAGAGCAACGGAAGATTCCAACAGTGCAGCGAAGACGCGGAGGACGAATACCGGCAAAGCGAGGATGGACAACACGACCAGCGGTGGGGCAGTATTGGGGAGGGCGATGGAGGACGCGACACGGTCGTACAGCGAAGGAATGGATAAGGCTGCTACCACTCTGTCAAAGGCAACGTCGAAGGCCGGCTCAACGATCGCAGTGAAGATTGGTGACGTCGCAGATGCCATGCGTGGGGGGAACACCTTCCTCGAGATGCTTGTGGGGGTTCTTGTGAGGCGCGGGGGTGGGGGGAGCAACGGTGCACACGGGAGGGCGGACACAGACCCCTCGTCGTGTTACCACTCGAGTATAACAGGTCATTAAAAAAAAAAAAAAAACACAAAAAAAATATCAATCAATCATACGTATATATATACATAATATGGATCGTGCACAGGCCAAGGCCCCAAGGATAAGGCAGACCTAGGATACCTGCACCTGGCTCATTCCCGAACAGCAGTGGTACCAGTGTTATAGGACAGGCATAGGCCCAGCATACCGGATGTCGAACCAACCGATGTAGTAAGACCCTCAACAAGGCCCTCATCTTGAGAGGAAAAAAAACAGTACCTCAGCCGATTGAAAATTACCACAATTATCAGTGATGTTATCAAATCATGTGTCACACTCACAATCGGTACCATCTTACTGTTTACTGTAGCAAGAAAGAAGGTCATAGGACTCACTGTCATAACCAGGTATCGTATCCCTAGGCCAGTTACCGTAACCTAGGCCAATGTCGTGGGACAACTATGACAATCACGATTTGTGTCATGAAAAAAAATATTGTGGTCTGATATTTGATATCATTGAGTAAGCAACCACAACCACAAATCTGTGTCGCTGAACCGTTCCTATATCCAAGGACTAGCACTGTTGAGCGTTGTGTCCAAATAAATTTTGTTCAATTCGGTGTCGTAACCAGATATTTGTATAGTTTCCGTCACAATCGTTGACGAGAGCATCTCAGTCTCGTGTCCCGCATTGTTCATACCAGAATAAAACCCTCACCCCACTCGCAGCACAAAGTAGCAACCCGCAGCAAACACTCAGTCCCGCGCGGCACTCGGCAACTCTCACATGCACAAATATAAGGGGGTCATAATAGAGGAGTAGTAAATACGACAAAAATCAGGGTTCGTGCAGCGAAGATCGTGATAAAGCAAAAACATCTCGAATAGCAAGTAATCATTTATTTTTAGTTTATTTTTATCATTTTTTATTATTATTAAATTAAATAAAATTGAGGCCTCATTTTCACGTCAACTAGGCAGGGTAGAAAATGCCACTTGAAGGCTTGCGTACATATTCTCGTTGAAATGCCTGTTGGTTCGAAAACAGGCTCGGAACAGACGAAAAAAGTGGGCGTTAGGACCAGTAGAAGTGACACGTCCAATTATCTAAGTTTAAGGGTTAATATTAGTAGGCGGTTCAGGAAAATTCAGGGTTCAACTCGAATACCCCAAATTTACCCGATGCATTTGGCAAAAATACCCAAAGAAAATCATTTAGCCGCTCGGTCAAATGCTCAATTCTCTCCATTTCGGGTGCTCGATTGCTTTTGGATGCCCGACAATATCTCCCTCATCTTCCTCACGCCCTTTTCTCTTATGCTCTACTACCCGTCATTCCGCCTTTATTCCCCTTCACTCTAATCGTCAATGAACATAATGGATACTTCAACCAAGTTACTGTAGAATCAGAGTTGGTGAAGAACCATCGGGAATCAACGTGCGAACAACCGAGTCCTGACTACGGAACATACACCACGAGGACGAGTACGACGAACACCAGCACAAGCAGAATCCTTAGCTGCGAAAATAACAATTAACCTCAACAAAGTCACGAATCCGATGGCGAAAACGATGCCACCGAATTAAAGAAAACAACCACAAATTAGTGGAGAAGAAGAGAACGATTTGCCAAAGACCGAAAGTGAATCCCCCCACCAGGACTTGGGGATGTGCAGCGCCCTGGTGAGAGTGAATCTACCGCTCGAATATGGAAAGGTACACTGCCACGACGTGCATTAAGACACATGATATCCACGACAAGAAGACGAGCACAATGTCAAAGGCAAACGACATATTGATGATGACGAACACAAGGGTGACTCAATGACGAAGGCATTCTCAACGAAGTGGCAGTGAGGCAACAGAATGACGAGAGTTGCGACGACAGACTGATGAACGTGAAAACAAGTGTTGTTGGGTTCGCGAGCACTTTAAGACAGCACGAGCAGTAGCGAGATTATTTGGGAAGACGACAATCAGGACCACGAGAGATCACGATAACGAGCAAGGGCATCATATCCGTCCCTCATTAAGTGTGCAAAAATTAAAATGAATCTTCCCCTGGAACATGGGAAAACACACCACTAAAATTGCACCTAAAAAAAACTTTACCCTTTCACGCATGTGCGCACAAGAAAAACTAACCATTAAGTTCTAAATCTAACCGCGCCATCGAATCCACCCTGTCTCCAAACCCCTATTTCTTATCTTTCCTCACACGATTTCGTTAGGAATCAGACGAGATAATCGATTGCCACCCCTTTCATATTTGTCACCACCATCTCTCTGCGCAACACTTTCTCCTACTAACTCCCTATCTTCTAACTTCCTAACCGGATTGACTTCAAATCTGGGGTTGCCCACCCCGAAAACCCCTATCTACATTCGTCCCCACCATCCTCGTTTTTCACCAAGAAACGAGCGAGGAATGGCTATCTCCTCCACCATATACCGCTCTACCTCGTCGCTACCTTCTTCCCTGTTTTATGCGCACCTGGCTCAACTACGCATCCAGGTTCGTCTTCAACCTCAACAACTCTCGCTATCCTATGGTAAACTTCAGAGGAAACTAGCTACTCGACGGTTCGATTAGTCTTTCGCCCCTATACTGAAGTCCATCGAACAATTTACACGTTAGTATCGTTGCACGCCTCCACTAGAGTCTGCCCTTGCCTCACACTGCTCGACATAGTTCCCATCTTTCGGGTCTCAACAGGCATTCTCACAGTCAAAACTCTCACATTAGATCATGGGTGGCGGACGGTACACCCGCAAAGGGCTCTCAACACTCAGGTTTTTTCAGCCTTGTGGGTAAGCACCCACCAACTCCTATGTACGTTCAACTCTTTGGTCTGTGTCTTGCCAGGAACACAATCGGCTCGCCAAAAGCGGGACGTGCTCAAGGTCCTCGATTGTTGTAACGACCGCCCGTCAGGCTTTCAACCGCTCCCCATTGCAACGTCGGCCACAACAGCCCATACCGGCAGGCACCCCACTTCCAATAATGAGGGCGATAACGTTGAGATACCATCATTGGGTTGGCCGGCCTGGTCAATTCAAGAAATATTTTAGCGTTACCTATTAAGTTTCATAATCATAGTCGAACTCGGGTTTGTATTTCAACAGTCCAGTGATGTACCAACAAAGCTAAGCCCGTTGATTCCACCGTCGGTCTCGGAACCGGTGTCGGGCTGGTACCGTGTCCATAAAAAATTTGGACCAATATTTGAATAAATAAATAAACAAATCGGAGAAGAGCAAAGGGAAGGGACCGTTGGGACCTCCTTGGTCCTGCCAATCGGGCCCATGGTCGGGAATCGTGCAAAGACGAAGGAGGATAACCCCGACGGGCCTTCAACACCTCAGTTTTCCTTTATGTTGCTCCACCACTCCATCGTCATTGCTCACTAGCACTAGCGTTGATCTTCATACCTCTGTAATAACAGTCCCACAACGTGACCAATAATGCTAGGCCCAAGGCTGGGAAAGCATTTTGCAGCTTTAATATAAGTGATATCGGCATCGTGCCTGCGTCTGCGAAATGTACAGAGGTCACACCTCTGCCTATCATTCGAACCCCTCGGTCGGAGTACTCTCGCACACGTTATGTATGGGTCTGGGCTATGATCGCTATCAGCATACCGCCCACTGCTCTGGTGGTATGCCACCCCCATCCTTAGGTGCCTCGCATGCCTAAGCCTCAAAGAATTGTGGTATGACCGCTGGACATACCACGCACGCCGCCCGACATGGGTGAAAAAACAACTTTTTCCTCTGCGCACACGGTTCGCTGCCCACATCCGCAGCCAAACACGCGAGCGTCAACACTCCACTTATCCACACCTTGGCGCGAGTTTCAAGCTCGATAATCGCAGCAACGGATGTGCCTCGGCTACAAAGGACACTGTCAATTGCGAATAGTGTTGTACCGGGTATGACTTGCAAAAAGACAGACCAAATACACTTGTAAGGGTATTTAGTACGACAGTTCTGACCTAGTGGACAAGATTGGTATCCTCTAGCATATGAAGATTATGTATAAAAAAACTTCTTTTCCATATTATGTGTGCTCAATATTAATTTTATCATGATAAGTTTATGATTTGACAATGAGTCTGCCTTGATTGTAACTTCAGCTACTAAGTGTCGACTCTCTTGCTTTGTCGGTATAATATCAAGTTTTCATTTGATGAATATTTTTACTTCAAAAAGGTCCGATGAGATTCAAGTAAAGACTTTTGCAAATTGGTGCATATTCTATAGGAATAAAAAAAAATGTTCTATTAATGAAATATGAGAGGGTTAATGATTTATTGGGATGTAATAAGGTGGTAAGGGAGTCGAGTACATGTATAAGGATTGTGTTTTAGTCCCACCCAATAATTAGGGATCTTACATGCCGAATTTGATCTCCAATGAAGAAGAGAATGTATTTTTATGGTTATGACATAAGGGGATGCATACCGATATAAAGCACTGTGATTGATTGCTGATGTGCATAATGACCCATACATATAGACATTGAAAGTTCTCCTTAACTTCACTTACACGAGTTTTCAATTTTATGTGGATTAGTACAACTAGGTTCCCTTTTATGTCTTAAGTTGATACTTAAAGGATAGAGGATAAATTGTTCTCTTATAACTTCATTTTTGGATCATGATGTTAATAATGTTAGATGTGATCAATTACTTCAGTGAAGATTTTTATATCTTCCACAAAAATCAACTGGCAACAAACATTTCAATAAGGGATATGTAACTTATAGTTTAATTTCAACTTTTGTATTCATCTCAATCTTGATAGGCGTAATTGCATAACTGATGAACCTTGGGTTTTCAAACATAGTTTGAGTATTTTAGCGACCTTTATGGACTCAAGTACAACATGAAAAGATTAACATAGCAACAACCTCATATTTAATCACCGAGTGTGGAGTGAATTTTTTTTTTTTTTAACTAAACATTAGACGCTCAATATATACTATTGTTTGTAATAAGAGGATTCAACCCCCGAGTTTGTGCCACTTTCAAACATAGGTTGTAAATCAAATGAGTTTCACTAGAATAACCTTGCCTTTTGTGCAACATGATAAACAAGGATGAAATGA